ATCGGAAAGTTTCGGATTTTAGTTCTTGAAAGCCGAAACGTTTCGACCTTAAGATTTTGGTTTCGCCCACACCTTTAACCAAGTCCAAGGATGGGATAAAGTGAAAAAGGAATTAGATCTAAGTAAGTATAGTCTTGTGGAATGGTAATAGATGCAATAGAGATACGTTTTAGAAGTAAGATATTCATTTCATATTCTCATTAATGTTAACTATTGTCGATAATGATAGGATACTACATAAAATAAAAAATAAACAAAAAAATAATGAGCTTACCAACAGTAACCCAGATATCAGGTACGGCAGGAGCAAAGTTTTTTGGAGGATAGTCTTTTGTTAGAAGAAGATAAAAGCCGTGCCGAATTTATTAAAAGTGGAAGCAGTTCATTATGAGAATTTATTTTTTGTAAAAGGGATACGAAAAGAATAATACATTTGGCTTGGTCATCTTTTGTATAGTCCACTTCTTTGTTTTCTTTTATAAAGGATAACTGCAAACTTTCAATATATGGTTCTTTTTAAAATCATTGATTATAAATTCAGGAAGAGTGCCTCATGCGTCACATTTTCTGATTTCCTTTTTGGGAATCTTTTTTTTTTCATTTTTTTTTTTTTTTTTTTTTTAGCCAATTTACGTAATTATTTTGGCTTTTGTTTTTCCAGGAAGCTTATAAGAAAAGACTTTATAATATTTGCTATAGATTTACTTTAAGTATGCCGTAAAACATTTATTATGGTCAAATGTAAGCGTATTTAATTTTAGGGGAGATTTTTAACTATTATGTTTTTTACATTTATTGTTAACAAGTTCCGGAATTTGTCCTTTGAGTGAGTATGTGTTGAGTACCTAGGTTTACAATTATTTTCTGCATGTTGTTTATTCTTATTGAGTCTATCCTATGCTAAGACGAAATTACTTCCATTTTTAAAATATTTCGCAAGAAATTATCAAATTTCTTAGACGCGCACGAATTATGGGGATTTATTCAGTTTCTTATTGCAATTACTAAGGCCAATAGATTTTTTTTTGGTAAAGATATTTCCATATGATAATTATCAACTTTTTTATAATGACAAATTTATATTTCTAAATATATTTTTATTAACATTCTAACGCTTCTCTGTCGATTCAAAATAGAGGCCGCTGCTAAGCTTAGTGAAGTTGGATGGTATAGAATGCGAGGTGAGGTAGTAGTCTTATTGAGTGATTTGTCGAGTCGTTGTGTATCTAAAGCTTCTCTGCCACTAGGTGTAAAAATAATCTGAAATGCTTTTTTCAATATTATTTATTTTTAGTGACATCAAATGCAATGGAATCAGTTTGAAATTTTTTTTTTTTTGAAAGCAAATGAATTAATAATTCAAAATGAAGAAAACGTTCTATATAATATTTTTTTTTGTGTCTTTTATTAGTTCCGAGGTATAAATGGCGAAGCTTCTCTTGATGCATCATCTTGTGATGAGGAAATCTTGATATATTTGCCTCATAGTGGGTTTAATAATTAACATGGATAGCGCCATGATCTTATGAATCATAATTTAATCCTGAATTATTAATAAACACACTTTACTAATTCGCAAATCTCTTCTCCAATCTTAACTCACGTATTTAAAATATTCAGCAAGAAAATTTCGGTTCACGTCACCCGGCCAGGCCTTTTAAATTTTAACCAAAAAAAGGTTTATATGATAATTTTTCGTAACTCGAACGATAAATTTGTTAAAATTAACAAATTAGTTCTCGTCATTTCTTGATTTTTATTTTCTCCAAGTATTTTGATTTAGTTGTCTTAAGCTCTTAGGTTTAAAAGGTGCAATCCAATAAATTTACCCCAAACTACGATTGGTTGGTATAATAAACATTGACGAAAGTATACAAAACAATCTATATAGTCTAATACAAATATCAACTGTTCCACTAAAAAACTTTTATAATCAGAATTCAAAATTTATCTGCTTCTAATATTCTTGAAATACGATGATACAGCGTTTAAAGTACAGTATATCAGCTTTGAACTAGCGGGAAAATGCGGTTGTATAACTTTCACTATTTAGACAAAAATCATACGATTGTGAATTTCTAAAAATGAGATTTGAGTAAATCGAATCTAAATTATTTAAGTATTCAAATAACTAAAAGTTTTGCTTTTTCCCAGCAACTGCTTGTATATACGACTTCTCCTTCAAATGGAGTACTCGGCGTCAGTTCTTTATAAAATCTCACTGCATAGAGTTGTTGTGGGAATTTTCAGCACGCCTGGATAACGCTTTGCCAAAGAACTTTGTCTGACCGACTGTTTGACCATCCATTTGACTTTATAATTCTTGATCTACTTTGGAATGGGCATATTAAATTTATCAACAATTTAATAAGAGTGTTAATGTTCTATTTCTGAGGAGGCTTTAATTTTCTTATATATAAATTAATTCCAGACGAACCTGCAGGTCAAATGATCTGTTAGAATGAGTATTTGACCAACCGATGTCAGTATACTTTATACCTCGATACTGATGACGAATATATCTTGAATGTAAATATCTTTGGTTGAATTAAACGGTTCTAATTAAGTTTATGAATGACATTTATCATAATAATTAACTGTAAATAGATGGGATTATTATTAAACTATTTTTAGTGGCACGTCACTATCATACTTTTTGCGCATATTTAATGTCAATACCTTCTTATTACAAATATTGTATTTGACTATAATGGAATGCTTTTTACCGGCCATGCGTATAAAATTGAAGAAAAAAAATAAAAATAAATGTTTCTATTTTTTTTTTGGTGATATTTAATAAAGAAATCAGTTTGTATCACAACCAATTGTAGTAGTTAATCTTATAAAACCTCAAACAATAATCATAAAGGGAGAACGGAAAGTATTTAACATATATTTAATATGTTGTTATCGTAAAAATGAATATTACTGACTTGCTAGCATACTACTAAAATCATATTTACGAAATTTCGTTATTTTAACGAAATATTGCATTTCTATATCATTTATTTGGATATTTCATTGTTTTTATTAATATATTTAAAAGAAAATGTTTGTTGAACATTGCAATTAGTTTTGACTCTCTCCGATGTATTAAACAAAGCTTATTATTTACTATACATTTGAGTTTTCAATTGACCTCAAAAATTTTCTGTAATCTAAATAAATTGTGTTATTTGATATTTGTCGATTTGCTAATGAATAAATTCATAACTTTATCATATTTAAACTTTTCTAATGTTTTGAAAGAAGGATTTAAAAAGCAGTTAACGGCCTAACAATATCAAGAAACAAAATAGCAAAGAATATCCTAATAAGGTTGCCGGACGAAACCCGTCGAAACCACCGAAACACATCGAAATCATCGAAATCGAAGGTTTTGACTTTTGCCTAAAATGGGAATCGGGTTTGCCCCATAACCTTATATACTAATATGTTATGTGTGGCTAATATGACTAGGTTAAAAACCTATTGGAGAAAAGAAGGATGAATTTATTTATGAGTATTAGAAAAAGCAGTGCATTGGGAAAAAAATAAAAACAAAAAAAAGTTGCAAATTATGAAGTTTTTGTTGATTTTGGAGTGGGGGGGGGGGGGTTTTTTGATATTTACACAAATTCATAACGAAGTATATAATTTGTGTCCATGAGGTTATAGAATGCATAAAAAAATTAAATTATTTATAAATTCTTAAAAGCGCATATGTAAACTTAATGAATTAAAATATGTTTCAATAATCGATTTGCCATTTCGATATGTTCACAATTAAATTTTATTTGATAAACATATTAAATTATGGTAATCACAGTTAATAACTTTATGCTGTCATTTTGAATCTGAAGTGTAAATTTTTTTGGAAAATATTCATGATTTCCAACAAATTTTTAAAAGTGACAATAGAATAATTAACTTAATAATATGTAAGTAAAAAAGTAATATAAAAAAGTAAATTTAATTTTTTTATTATATATGAAATAATGAACATTATAAGAAATGTGACGAATGCTTAAATAATTTTTTTTTTGATACATTATATCGGTAAAAAACTTAAAACAATAACGTGATTTTGTATTTTAAAGAAATTTAAACTTCTTAAAGAGTTTTTAAAAAACTTGGAAAAACGGAAATTAATGAATCTGGTAAATTTGGTAAGCTAGTTATCTGATTATTTTCACAGTTAAGATAATGTAAGGAGTTTGGTAAAGTTGGTAAGCATTTTATTTTAATATTAATGCAATATAGTTTTTTTAAAGAGTTAGGTAATTTTGGTAAGTTGTTAATTTTAGTATCACTACAATAAAGTTCTGTTAAAGAGTTAGGTAAAGTTGGTAAGATAGTTATAGGAGTATAACTACAATTGAATTCTATTAAGGAATTAGGTAAAGTTGGTAAAATAGATATAAGAGTAAAAGAGCAATAAAGTTTTGTTAAAGAATTAGGTAAAGTTGGTAAACTAGTTATCTGTGTATTTTCACAGTTAAGATAATATAATGAGTTGGGTAAAGTTGGTAGGCTAGATATTTTAGTGTTGTTGCAATATAATTCTTTTAATGAGTTTGGTAAAGTTATCAAACTAGTTATTTGAGTATAACTACAATCGAATTTTGTTAATTTGCTACTTATTGAAGGGAGTTCTATTAAAGGATAAAAAGGAATAATGAGTGCTTTTAGGGAAATTGTAAAAGTATTAGGTAAAGTTGGTAATCCAGTTATTTGCGTATGACTACAATTAAATTTTGTTAAAGAGTTAGGTAAAGTTGGTAAGCTAGTTATTGGATTATAACTACAATCGAGTTCTGTTAAGGAGTTAGGTAAAGCTGGTAAGCTAGTTATGTTAATATTACTACAATAGAGTTTTGTTAAATTTCGATATTTATGCAATCCACCAAAGGATTTCAATATTTCTTTTTTATTTGTATCTGTAATAGTTAAACGACCAATATATTCATAATTTACAAGATTAAAGATTCTTTCTTGGAATTCAGTTTCTTGTTTTAATGCTGACATACTTAATTCCTTAATTTTTTCTTGCCTAGCTTCAAGCAATTTTAATAGAAAGTTGCTCGGTTTGGTTTCTTCTCGCTCTTTAATCCTTTCTTCTAAATTATTAATTGTTTCTTGCTTGGTTTTGGTTTCTTCTTCTCGTTCTTTAATCCTTTCTTCTAAAATATTAATTGTTTCTTGTTTGGTTTTGGTTTCTTCTTCTAGCTCTTTAATCCTTTCTTCTAAATTATTAATTGTTTCTTGCTTGGTTTTGGTTTCTTCTTCTCGCTCTTTAATCTTTTCTTCTAAAAAATTGCATTGTGAATGTAACTTTTCGTTATTTTGCTTTAATTCTTTATTTTTAGTTTCCAATACTTTTTGGGCTTGTTCTAAAGTTTTTATTAAAACCATTATTGTTTTTTTGTAAGTTTATGTTCTGAACAAAGCAGGTTGAAAATTAAATTTATTCAGCCCTCGGTTTAAATTTTTCCCACGTGTATGAAATGTCCATAAATACTCTAGTCGATCAGATGATTCAAAATAATCCAATTATTGCAATGGATCGTCAGTGACATTTGCCCAAATATAGTTATGGCGTGGCGAAGTCGTTTATCGGGAAAAAAAAAAAAAAAAAATTAGACAATTGCGAAAAAAAAAGTTGCTGTTCATTAATTTATGAACTTAACTAATATTGAAGAAATGAAAATTAGTTGAATTTTTGAATAGTGAAATGATATATAACAATACAATTCAAATTTCTACAATATTCTGAGATGTAAAGTAAAGGTTGGAATCGGTTAAAACGGTTAACATGTTAACCGGTTAAAGATTTTTTTAACCGGTGTTAGCCCTGGAATCGTCTCAAACCAAGCTAACAAAACTAATAAACTTAATATCGCAATTACCTCAAAGGCTTTTCCTGAGAGAAATTAACGATAAAAAAATAAAACAATTTATTATCACGATTCACTTGTGTAGTAGGTTATCACAATCAATCCTATGATGAAGACAAGAAGAAGGTTGAAAGTGTAAAATAGTAACTTTATTAACTGTAGAGTTATAAGTCTAGTCCCAAGACTTATCTCAATCCCTGAGCAAAACTCTGTTGATTCAAGGTCAACTTACAGGTCTATTTATATAAAATTGTTAACTAATACTATACTACGCCTTTCAATAAGTACATATAATGAAATAATATAAGTAATGAAAAGTAGACTATATAATATTTATATTAAAAGGTAAACTATTCGAAACATGTATTATAAGTCAACTAAACGATACATGTATGATATTTGGCGCAGATGAAGATCATTTAAGGCACAGCATAAACTGCGGCTAACACCGGCTAAATAGATTGAATTTAAATCCGACCGAAATTCAATTTCCGGCCAGAATTAAGATTTTTATGATATAATGCTGGCCAAAGTTAATTTTAACCGGTTAATTAACCGGTTATTAACCGTTAACCGGTTAAAGAATTTTCGGCCGGTTCCAACCTCTAACGCTAATGTAAAGTTCGAAGTAACTTTAGTAACTTTGTATTTCTCATTAAAAAAGTTACACATTTCATTTACTGTAATTTATGTTTACGCTTTAAATGTATCATATTCAATAAAAAGATGTATCTATTTACAGTATGTTTGCTGAAATTTTAAATTATCATAAATGACTAACATTATGTTATGTAAAGCGAATTTTATTTATCTGATACGGAATATTTAGACAATTAAATCATGTAGATTAATTTAAATAATGCCAACAAAAGTTTAAATTATTAGTTCAAAGGAATATTGCAATAACTAACGAAAATGAATTGAAGATAATCATTCTTATAATTATGAAAGTTCCTATAATAAATTAGTACTTTTTTAATATATGGTTAAAATATGTTTTTGATTCTTTTATTCTAATTATCAAAGAATTATAATTTTAATGTTAAATTTACGCGCTATTGTTCAAAATATTGACTAACACAATATTTGAATGGTTTAAATAAAGAAGATAAATACCTTTATTTAGACTGATTGTAAATGCTAGCCAAAAGATTGTTTCCAATAACCTCAAAAACTTTAAGCATAGCAGATAGTTAAGATAATAATTGGAACTGAACCAATAAATTGAAACGAAGCGAAATATATTTCATGCTGTATTGATCGACCTTTCTTATTATTTTTAGCAAAACAACATGACCACGGCCAGGCCATTAAAGTGTTAAGAAATTCAAAGGATGCGTGTTTGGCTTGGATGTTACTCTTTTTGTTAAATGAACTAATTTTGACATTCATGATAACCTCGCGATTTTGAAGTTGGGATAATTTAACTATTTTTTTTTTTTCATTTTGGACTAATATCTTAAATTTTATTGTAAATTTGTAAATTATTTATGACCTAGGGATTTAAAATCGATTTAAAAAAGTAGATACGATTAATCGTTATTAATCTTTTCTCAAGTTTCGGCTCTAAGATTTGATTTCGGTTTCGACTAATCAATTTTAGTTACAAAAAAAAAAAAAATCATTTATTTCAAGAAAAAATTTAAATTTTCATAAATTTAATATTCTACGATATTAGCTCAATATCCATAATTTAGTAAATACTATAAGATTGCTTTTTCAGCAAGATCCTTCATTAATCTTCAAAGCGGATGATTGGATACAAAACAATCAAACCTGAAATTATATTTTTCGTTCTTATCATCTGGAAGCCCTATTAAGTTTGGGACGAATTAATATAATGACAATACCCAACCGATATTAAAAAGTGGATGTCAAAATTAAATATCGGCATTAAAAGAGATTTCAACCATTTTTATTACACAAATGGAAACAAATTAGTCCCAAAGATTTCTTTCACAAATAAAACCACCACTTAAAAATAATTTTGACATGGATATATTTATTCAAATGAACGATTTTAAATCTTGAATACTATTAATAAATCTAATTAGTGAATTTCGATTGTTTTAAATTATGCAGTAAAATTTTGCCCAGTTCGTATAGGGCCAATGGTAAATTCATTCGTGAACCTTTTATGTTTAATTAAAACCAAAACCCCAAAAAGACTAAAATTTTTTTTTTTTATGTTTATTATTCTAGAAATTAGTTCCAAATATAATAATAAATATTGAAATTACAGATTACTTATGATAATAAATGTAACACTTAAAAATTTAAAAGTGACCCTTATACACGTCTAGTGAATATACTAGGAAATTTTTTTTATTATTTTATTCCGATTTTTTGGTCTTAATTATCAACTTTGCTAGAATTTTGGTTATAAAATGATGAGTTTCTGACAATAAAATTTTCACTTGTAACGACAACGGAACTTAAAAACAAAATAAACATAAACAATATCTCTAAGGCGATTTATTTCAATTGCTCATAATGTAGCTGCTCTTGCTTAAAGTTTTCTCTTAAATAAACTATAATGTTTAATTTCTACTAAATGGACTCTGTAATTTTATGAGCTTTAATCTCTCGCCTTTACTGTATTTATAATCTCCTAATTCTTTATTTTTTCTTCATACCTCCTGCCAAGATATTTATTCCACCATTCCAAAAAGACATCGAATGTATGACTTAATTACATAAAAAGTCCGGAACGATCTTAACTAAAAAAAATTCACACTGTTATTTGCTTTATCTAGACATTTGTGCAATTGCAAAGGCCAATCAACATCGACTCAGTTATTAGCGGCGGACAACGGGACACCTTATGTGACATATGGCTAGTCCTTCGCTTCACTCCGGACTAAAAAGATTTGATACGAAATTCATAGTATTGTCATATCAGGATTCTTTTTTCTAGATGAATTGTAATATCTGATTATAGAGAACAAGGGTTATAGGCAACAAAGTCTCAAAGTGATGAATAAAATTTACCATCAATGGGTCTCAAAATTATTGATGTTAAATTCCCTAAAATCAAAGTGTGTTAACGCGGGCAAATTGTTGAGCAAAAATTTTAAAATTGAAGACTTAAATTTTGAATCAAGAAGGAAATCACTCATCCTTTCATCAATAGTCTATCAATTTGATGACCCACTTCATACATCTACTTCTTCTCGTATCTAAATTCACGTTAAATACAATAATACAACCTTTGAAATTTATAAGCTAAGAATTAAAAACAAATTAAAACTTTTAAATTTATTAAAACGCGCAATAAGAAATTTGGATATCTTCTCTTAAAGCTAATGATCGCGTAATATAGTTGATCCATTATAAAATATCGCCTTCTTTAAAGAGTTCACATTCAATAGTTGGCGCTGCAGTAAAAATCATAATAAATCAAAAAAAAAAAAAACTTTAAAAATTTATTTCAAATATTGTCGCAGATAATAAGAATCTAAAAAAAAAAAATGAAAATAACACCAATCGTTGCCGCAGTAAAAACAGATTATGATTGATTTGATTTTGTCTTTTTTAAACATTTAACTGGAGTAGTAAATATAATAAATTAATAACGAAAAATACACTTTTGCGGATTACCGAAAATATCACCTAAAAATAGTTATATTTATTAAATAGAAAACTTGTCCAATATCCCTAAAAATAAAATGCTTGCAATTACATTAATTGATGACGCAGTATAAGTTTTATATGAAGTAAAATTTCCTACAAAAATGGCCGTGTATCTAGCGATTATTTTTCTGAGAAGCGTCACATACTACAGTAAGATCTTCATACCTACGGTATATGTTCTGTTATCGTTATACAACATATATATACCCGCAACAAAAGTCTCAAGGGAACCACTCATAATCGTTCATACTTATCTGACAACTAGAGATGCAATTAGCCGGGACTCATTACAAAGCACAAAAATATCAATAGTTTAAAGACTTTTTATTTTAAAAATCAAAATTTCAAGAAAGATAACAAATGATCATCGTGATCGTGATAAATCGCTATGCGAAAAAACGTGCCTTGTAATTTTTATCTCTTCATAATGTGAAGTTAATTATTTTAAAGAAAATTTGAAAACAACCAAAAAAATTATTTGTATCTAATTAAAACAAAAAAATTTCGATTCAAATTATCACTATTTCTATTTTTATTAATTATCAATGATTTGTAATTATAAGTTATTGTGCTTTGCAACGATTAATATCAAAATTATTTATCAACGCAAGCACAATAACGATATTATCGTGTTATTTTATGATGTTGACTTAAAATTATGAAGAGAAAGTTCATCATTTCTGTTGATAAGATGCGATCCTACTAGATGCCCAGCATAAAATTTATCGTATATTAGATTCTTTTAAAAAATGTAAGGCCCACATTTATGAATCACGAAAAAAAGGTAAATTAGTTTACCTTTTTGTGTTATAAGAATAATAATATAATTTAAAAAATCTTATTTTAAACGAATTATACTTATGAAAATCTTACTGGAAAGAAATC